CAGTTACACATTTTTCAATAAAATAATATTACACGCAATTTAAAAACATTTTCTTACTTTATAAACACACATTTTCCAACAAAATATTATTTCAAAATTCATTTTGGACACAAATTAGGCTCAAACAAGAGCTAAATTTTAAAACAGTCATGTACATATAACAGTAATAATTTCATAATATTTGTATTGAATATTGCATAATTAGAAGGTGAGATGGTCATACAAACTAGCTAATATTTTTAAACACCTATAATTTTCTAAGGGTGAAGAATTTCATTCTGGGAAAAAAAAAATTAGAAAAATTTCCAACATTACTTCCCCAGTTCCCAACTCTCACCAAAATATGCAATTGAAGAGTAGTACTCTGTTCTTTAGTAATTGCACGCTTTAAACTCAAGCAAAGCCCCCTACACATGTTGCCCGTACAGAAAATCACAAACTTCAATCCCTATTCTTTCTTGCTCCCTTCAATCTTAATCTTAATCTTAATCTTCACTTTACATCATATATTTCATTATCATCTTCACGTATGATCTCCACCTAATCCTGTTTCCTGTTCCCCTATATAATCTCAACTAATCCTCCCATTTTTGGAGTGAATTTTTGGAAAATCGTCGAAAAAAATGGCGGAAGAGAGGGACGCAACGTCAGTGCCACTCAGTCAAGGATCCCGCGAAGACGAAGATCCCGAGGATCCCGTAAAATCTCCTCCTAATTCTCCAAATTCTTCCACCCGTAAGGTAACTCCTTTTTCTACCAAAAATTCCTATTTTAGCATATTTTCACGAATGTAGACCGATTTCACTATTCAATCAATTTTGGTTTCTGTTTACCTATTTAATACGAACGATAGGTCCGGTAGTGCTACGTGCACATCACAAATTCAAAATCTCACCAACCAAATAAAAAAAATTCCCCCAATTTCTTTTTGTAATTAAGCCACATTACACAAGTACAACCATTTAAGTGGTGGAAGGGATTTTGACAATTTTAATTGAATTTGTCGCCATCTCATGAATCTGTAAAAGAATATGTAAATTGTAATATACAATAAGCATTTTCCGTGGTCTGGGGCTGCTTATGAAATTGAGATTTCATACATATTTGATGTTTAGTACAAATTCGTTAAATTGATTGTATTTAAATTTAGTTATTTTATTTTTCTGCACTGTCATGCGGGTATTTAACTTCGACTTATTAAAAAATACGATGATTCAGATGGGTAGTCTTTGAATTTAACAGGGGAGAAATCAATTAATTTCAAATATCAACTTCAATATCAATGTACCTTGAAGCAGTCAAGGAGCGAATCAGCGAAATTTCCTGACTATAGTTGAAGATTGGATCTTTTGTAAATTTTTATTGAAGTTTAACCTATTAAAATATGTTTTTTTATTATTCTGATCAATTGGATTCATAGTAGTTAGTTTTAATGACATGATTTCTTGTCGATAGTTGATTCCATCTTCTGTAGCTGAAGTGCAGCACTGAACTTTTAAAATGAGAATTTCAAGACACTGAATTTTTTACCCCTTCGAACTAGTGGAGTCATAAGTTTTGCTGCTTATCCGTCATAAGCTGTGCTGTGAAGACCAAAGTCATGTTTCTTCAATTTGTTATTTCTCCAACCTCAACGTTTCTTGGATCTGTATATTAAATCCTGTTCTTGAATAAGTGATATCGATTATGATTTTATGATACACTTTACTGGAAGCTCTAAATTAGAAAGCGGCATCATTTTGACTCATAATTGATAGCAATCAAAACAAAGACGATTATGCTTCAAGATTTTTTTCTTTTCTTTTTGGGCTAGAAATAGAGGACAATAAGATGTCATCAAATCTCCCAGCTGTGTTTAATACATACTTAATTCATCACTGGCTCTTCATTGCCATTTTCCTTCGGGGATCAAATGATGTTTTCTAACGTCTATCCTATTTAACATTAAGACACACTGATTTTGCAATTATGAGGATCAGTTTTGAGGACATTTGTAGGTACACTTCCTTACTTGACTTCCACTTGACATTTGCATAGAAGTGGTTGGACAAAGTTGATATTATATGGTTGGTGAAATATTTTATAAGATGTTAAAGAGTGTTTTATGCTATATGAATGGAAAAATAGTATTATGGTGCCTTAATAGTTATTGAAAATTGTATATAT